TGTCAACTTTGGAAAAAAGTATCCCAGTTTACTGTGTTGAGTTGGCATACTACAGAAATTAACATCCATATTGGTCTAGAAATGTTGAACTTATTTTTTTTTCCATTTGTACAGGGGTAAAAAATGCACTGTATTAAATATGTAAGGTCTTATCTATGTGGGTTTGATTACAACAACTAGTAAAGTATTCTCTAAATAAAAAAATAAAGATAACTATCTCATAAAAAATAATAATACTGCCCATGGTACACATTACTAAATCAGTAATGAAGACTAAATGTTTATCATTGTAATGACTTCACTCTTAGCTAGGGAGCAAAACTTATGGGGAATGGTCAGACGGTTAAGATAAATGGTAACGAAAAGATTACAAAACACTCTGCCATTCTTGATATTTGTGTCATTTATTGTTTGAAAAGCTGCATGGAAAAAATGTCTTAATATTCTTCTTAATATAACCTAACATCAGAATCAGGGGTCATAATTAATTACATTTCCAAATAGTTCATTGTGTAACAATGTCGCTTGGGGAAACTTGCTCCTCTAATAAGGGACTAGAGATTTTTCCAATTACAATTGAATTTCTGAAGAAAAACATTAATTTGTTGTTATGATGTTCTACATCCATAACAGCCGAAGAACTCTCATTTCTGCCTAATTGAAATAAATGGATTATAATTTAGATTCTTTGTCTCTGAGATGGTCACATCTGTACTAGGAAAAGGAAATGGTAAATAGAACAGTTACTGGGAAAGAGATTTTGAAATTGGACCTTGTCACTAGGGGGCACTTAGGGACATAAAATCAGCATTGCCAAAAAATACTTTGTGAAATAAAACCTTGGTGGCATAAGTGTCTGCAAGGGTCAGGAAATTTAGGGCATCTCCTGCACTATTTTTAGGCACCAATTGTTTAGAGAAAAGACAAAGCAAAGTGGGCACACTTAGAAACCAGAAGGGCCACCTTCCCTGCCTCTCACCATACAAAGCAATACTAGTAGGTGTCATTGTTCCTTTGTTTCCTTAATTGTGGGGTTCAGTTTGGACTTTTATTCCAATTTTTGAGTTTTTATTGGGGGCAGGATATTTGTTGGTGAGCAAAGCAGTTCTTTTGTTTGTCTTTTAGACATTCCTATCCCTGTTTCTGTAAGAAATCAATAAAATGTGTTTGTAGGATCTGTTTCTCTAAATGTGATGCTAACAGATGATGTGTAACCTGAGGCAAGAGGAGATAGGGTTTTACCCCATTGCGTAAATGGGAAGAAAATCGGAGCAGCATACATAGCATTTGAAAGGAGTCTGGAAGTGGAAAAACAGACTCCCTGATGCGTATCCAATGCTGAAAGCACACAATGCAACAAGAAAGGCATAGCAGGCACACTGAAAAGGGAAAGCTTTACAAAACAGGCTTGTTTTGGCCTGTGTGCAGTCCACAAGCACTCTGGTTGATGTCATTCCCAAGCCCACCATTTCTTGGGAATGTTGTCACATGAAGATGCTGTGTTATCTATATTTGCAGGCTATGGGATATCAGAAATGCCTTCTAGCAAAGACCTTCAATTGCCCTATTCCTTAACATGAGGGGATCGTCCTGCATGACGCATCCTATCTGCAGAAATTACCCTGCAGTTATAATTAGGAAAATAATTGCAAGTACAATTTACCAGGTTCATGCCCATCATCTCATCCTATAAATTGAAACAGAGAAAGCTTCACTGCACCTCACCCAACGACCTAGTTAGTAGCTCTGGGCTAGCCTCCCAGGAGCACAGATCTTGTCCTTTGCAATAATGAAATGGTGGTCAGGGACTGGGACTCATGAATTGGATTCCATGTTCCCCGGACTCACCATGTGGTCACGGGGAAGTCCACACCTCATCAGTTATTCTGGTAGGAAAATGATTAGGATAATTACCATGCTCATTACTCTAGAGCTTTGATTTCAGTAAGTCACTTGTCGACTCTGACCTCAGCCTTTCAAAATAATGTGTATTATTCACACAAGCAACAAATCCTACTTTAAATGTCAATTCTTACAAAATGATTATTTCTAAGATAATTTAAATTTGTTTTTACTTACTTTAAGGTACATTAAATCATAGCATATTCATTTTAATGCCTTGCCTTTATAAATGACTTTCATCTTTCTGTAGTTTTTCCATTGACTTCGCCTACTTGAAAATCCTCACTGGTATAACCTCCCAACTTCTGTTGGAACACACAAAACTGCTCATTTACTTTTCTGTTTAATTAATGCAAACACACTGTCTCTAAGTTATGAGGTGGTGAAAGCAACACCGTCTCAGCAGAAACCAGTCTCCACTGATCTGTGATCTTCCCAAGCTTGCAGCAAGCTGTGTGGTAGCTCTCATGATGATATTCAGCAACTGACGGCTCTGGCCATTGACAAGATCACAAGGATAACTAAGTGGTACTTACTCCACAGTGTTCCTAAGCTGCACCAACCAGTCAGCTCTTAGGTATACTAAGTACATTTTCACTGACAGTATTTTCACTCTACCTAGGAAGTTGAAGAGTAACTTTATGGTGTTTCTAGATCACATTTGCTTTCAAGCCTTTAGCAATACCAAAATGGTCCATAATTTAAAAGAACTGGGTTTTGTGCCCATAACCTATAGATGGACTAGCCAAATGATAGTAATGAAGTCCCTTATGACTTGGGAAGTTGAATAGAAAAATAACTTTCTCAAGATACAGAAAACAATATAACATAATGAAACTCTATTACTCCAACAACTTCCAATGTTGTTTTTAAATAAACCTCTGAAACTTTCTGTTTATTCTATTTAAGTTTAAAATTAAATGTTGAGCTTGATCTCATAAAACATTTAATTGCTTCTGGAAACACATTTAACAGACCCAGCAAAGTCAGTTGCAATGATTGGACTAAAAATTTAATATCTTGCTTGAAACTCAAATTATCAGAACCCACAGCATTGGGGTTGGCATTTGCTTTAGAAAATAAATTATTGTGTTATGGACTAAATCTTCCAGAATTGATTTTGAAAATCCAATGTTGAATATTTTGGATACTATAGTTTAATATAAATTAAACAGGCAAATAGTATTTTTATTAAAATAAAAAGTAATAAAAATGGTTACAATAAATTGTTCTACTGGTATTTATTACCTGTTCTGTGACTCAGAGCCATAAATCAATGCTATACCCGAAGTGTAAGCAAATAGCATTCTGTATCGATGTAGTAGAAGGATTTTCAAAGCTTGTTGCACAGTCTCATTATTGTGATCAGTTATTATTTTTCTTCCCAAGAGAAAGGTTGTCCATCTTAATTAAGTATTGAAAAACTGATTTTAATATCTAACCCATTTTAATAGTTGTGCTGATGTTTTTTAAATGTAGTGACAGCCAGAATAACTTATGGGTGATGAGGGCCAAAAAACAGCTACAAACATCATACCTATAGAGAAACCCCACTGATATGATTGATGGATAGTATTCCTCTCAGAACCATTGGATAGGGAGGATTCCCACATGCCCAGCAGGAGGTTCCAGCCTTGATAGGAAATTACTTCCTGTTTGTTATGAATGAAAAAGAACGTTAAGGAACAATAGTCTCTCAGAGGTATAAGTTACTTTTCTCATTGCTCTAACAAAATCCATGACAAGAAGCTACTTAAGAAAAGGTTGATTTTGGTGCACAGATTTTGCCATTTTCCCCACAATAAATAGCACAGAGTGAAATTAATAAAATTGGGTATAATTTAGGTTTCTCCAAATACCCAAAGCTAAAATACCTATCCTCCGGTTATACATGTGTATATGAAGGCATACATTCACATATCACAAATACCCTCATGTTATACACGTGTATGTACAGGTACACATTCACATACTGCAAATATACTTGGATCATAAACATGTGTGTATACAGCACACATTCACATACTGCAAATATCCATACAGTGTCAAAAGATAGGAGACTCTCAGACTGAAACTCAAAGCACTATTTAACCTGACATCACAACTTCTAGCCTGTCTCCAACATTATGAAGCTCCCAGTGTCTTTTACCTTTGGGGCAGCAATCCTCCCTCCATCCTTGCAGCCTCTCTTATTTACAGAGTAAGTTTGCCCTGGTAGAATTATTGCCACCCTAACTGTTAAGCAGTGCTTGTTAACCTTTGGCATAGAGCTGACCTTTGCCCGCTTTTCACTATCAAGATCTGAAGCTCCACAAAAAGGTGCTGTTGAATTGGAGTCTTTCTCCTAGAGTACAAGCTACAGCAGCCTCAGCATGGCGAGGGGTAGCTCTTTCTCAGACTGCCTCCTGGGCTGGCCTGCAGAATCTCAAATGTACAGAATGGGTTCTCATTACCAGAGAGTATATTGCTGACCAAAGCATGATGGGACTCAAACTGGATCAGACTAAGTCTTGACCTACAAGTTGCATGAACATGAATAGAGATTCATTTTATCTGAAAGTGTACATTTCCTAGTAAGTTCTTATCACTAACACTATTAAAAACCAGCTCTCGTGCTGGAGAGGTAGCTCAGTAGTTAACAGCGATTGCTGTTCTTCCCAGTACCCCATCTCATGGATCACAACTATCTGTAGTTCAAGTTCCAAGGAATCTAACGCCCTCTTCTGGCCCTCCTTGGACCTCTGAATGCACATGG